TGTCCGGTCGCGCGACTTACCTACCCTTCCTTCCCTCTATCGTCATCCTGGACCCGAACTCTTTATCCCCTCTCTCCACTTTCGTACCCTATGCTACCCCATTCTTTTCAACTTCAGTAAATCTGGCTATATGCTGGTATAGTGAGACATGGCGATACGGTGATCAGGGGCACCGTGGAACATGTTCTCGATCCTACCGGCTCTGCCTTTGCGCTGCTCGTCAGTGCATCGGTATCCATGTGTATACCTGCCGAGTGGTCACGACTTCCCGGCTTTGCCGCGCTGTTGTCCTACACTCGTGCCTGTGGCGGAATGCCGACCCGTGTAGACCCAGTTGAAATGATGGGATACCTCCCACTGTCCATTGGCTATTCATGCCACCGCCGCGAGGATTGCTGCCTCGGCCGTCTGGCAGGCTCGATTGTACAGAGGTTGAAGAAGTGAACAATTATGGTGCACGGTGTTGTAGGCTGCGACATGTCGCCCAGAGGTGGATGTTCGATATGCGCGCTCGTCGTTGGCACCATGCTCGTCTCATTGCCCCACGAATAGGCTGAACATGTACCGTGCATCCTGCGCCGATGGCCATTGATGCCCGCCCGGTCGGAGGATGCCATGCGGCTGCTTTGGTCAGCATTTCGTGTCCGTCCTAATAACAAATCAACACGCCGAGGCACCAAATGTAATGGCCAGGCGAACTTGTGCTCGCATTCTCTCTCAAGTCTCCGGTCAATACTGCTTCTACGAGCTTGTGACCCTCGCTCACTCAAAGACCATGACGATGATAGCAAGAGGTCTAATATTCTGGTCCAAGCAGAGTTAGTGAAGTGCGTTTGTAGTGCTTCTACTGTGCCCCGCATCTGCTATTGCAGTGGCTCGACGCTTAGATATGGGATAGTCTGAGGTATTCCACAAATACGCTCACTAGCTCACGTCCCGAATTCGTATGTTGACGTCAACGCACCCGCGCAGGGCATGTGTATGAATCACGCTCACCTGAAGTTCGACGGAGCAACGATGCTCGCCGCTGCTGTGCTGATAGGAAGGGCTGCATCGGCTCGCATCTCGTCGCGAGTAAGCCTTTGAGTGGAACAGTCCAGTCGAGAAATATCTGCTACAATAGTACCAAGATCTGCAAGAGAACTTGCGTGCGAACGGGCTAACCCTAACCCTCTGAGGGACACTGGCTTCCGCAAGATTCTCACCCGTCTGAGGCCGTGGGACCGCCATGAGAAGTTCGTAGACCGTTCTGTCAGACTCAAAGCAAGAATAGAGCCCCGGTAGCGCCCCGGAGGGGCTGTGACAGTGGTAGAGGTGAACCTGCAGCGCCTCGGCGCCTCGCTCGTCATGTATGTAACACGCCAAGACGACACGCTCTCGCCAAGGCTGCGGTCATCGCCGAGCAACGCGGTGCGGGGTAGCAAGCCTCGCTTCCTCTCCACCATCCACGACCTCTCGTCTTCCTCACTGCTCTCTTGACCCATCTGCCTGAGAACATGTCGTCGTCGGCGTCAGGGACGCTCCCACTGCATAACTCTCAGTCAGAGTCCGAGTTGGTTCGAGCCTCCGGTGGACGCGACGAAGAGAGCGGTTTGCTGAACGAGAAGCAGCCACAGACGCCGCTACCACGCAAGAAGAGGATCTGGCGACGTGTACTCGGCAAAGATAGGCGTCCAATAGGCTTACTAGAAAGTCTGAAGGCTATCGTGCTCTCTTCCTGTACGTCCAAGCCCTACCGAAGTATTGATTATGACTGACGCGCTTATCGTAGGGTTGAATACGTTCCTGATTTTCCTCCCGTTTGCGTGGGCGGCACACCTCCACAAGGAATGGGAGGAGAACGACGCCCTTGTCTTCTCGTGTAAGTATGCGGTGCCCTATTCCGAACGCACGCTGACCGAATATTGACCAGTGTGTTTCCTCACGATCATCCCTCTGGAGAAACTCTTTGACTGGGGCGGAGAGCAACTAGCTATGTACTGTGGTGAAGACCTAGGAGATCTCATCATCATTACGCTTAACAACGCTGTCGAGGCCACACTCGCGATCATCCTGCTCTTGAAATGCGAACTCAGGCTCCTCCAGAGCACCGTTGTCGGTGTTGTTCTACTACACCTGCTGCTCATTCCTGGAAGCGGATTCTTGACGGGTGGCGTGCGCATCCTGCAACAGCATCTGGATGCGCATAGCGTACAACTCAACCATACGCTCCTGATCATAGGGTGGGCAGGCTTGTAGCAACTGTGTACGAACCTCGACTGACTGCAATGACAGAGTCATGTCCCTGGTTGTTCCGCTCGCATTCTTCACGGCGATGGGACGCGGCATGACGTCCAACTTGCCGGGCTCAATTGACGCACTCTCGGATGAAGTACGGGGAAACTTCTTGCAGATGGCCCGTGGCACCGCGATCATCTTGTTAGTCGTCTACGTGTGCAGTCGTATCTACTTGCACAACCCTCCCGGCGAAGGAAATGCCCTGAAGGTGGCGCCTGACGCTCCCATCGAGCAGCGCATCAAGGAGGAGGAGTTGGAAGAGGCAGTCCCGGAAGTCAACGTCTATGCCTGCGTCATCTTACTAGCAGTCTCGGTCACTTTGATGGCTGTGACTGCCGAATTCGTACGTGCTTTACACGCCCTCCATATACGCACTCACTGAATTCTGTATACAGCTAGTGGAGTCTATCGAGTTCGTTCGTGAGGACTCCGGCATTCGGGAAGAGTGGTTTGGCCTCGTGCTCCTCCCGCTCATCTCTTTCGCCGCCGATGGTACCATTTCTGTCGTGTACTTCGTGCGCTCTACCTTACAACACTGGCTGGGCAAGCCCGCGCCGCCCAATACGCTCGCTGAAGACCGAGCGATCGACCTGAGCATCCAGTTCACGTTGTTCTGGCTACCATTCCTTGTCCTCCTTGGTTGGTGGACAAATAAGCCGTTCACCTTGCTGTTCGGTGAGTCTCTCGCAATATCATATCGGCGTGAGACTGACGCCTATGTAGACATGTTCGAGGTGACTGTTCTCATTGCGGCATGCTTCCTGGTCAACTACGTGACCCAAGACGCGCGTACGAATTGGGCAGAGGGCGTGGCGATGATTGCCTTCTATGCGATCATTGTACGTGCCTATCAACCGATGCACGTGATTTTATTGAATGCAAATGTTCTCATAGGTCCTCGCCGCTTGGTTCTATGAGGGTCAGCCTGAAATTGCATTCTTCAACGCCTGCAAGGAGACTATAGCTCAGGCTATCGAGGGTGGCGTACCCATCGAAAGCTGAACGGAGCGCTAAACTACTCTTGTTATGCTTCTTGGACATTTACTGCTGTGGATATGCTATGTTGTACACTCGCTTGTTGGACCCTCTACATTATACCAACCTCTTCAATCTCTTGTATCGCATTCGGTCCTACTTCGCTATCATGCTCTCTCCTAGATGTGGCACCGTGGCGCTCTGCGGATGGCCCCGTCTCGATCCCGTCCGATCTCGCTTCCTCTCTCGTACTGGTGCTGTCGCCTGGATCTGTCGACGGGAACATGTTCGAAGTAAAAACGATCATGCCTGAGTCCACCTGACGGCGAACCTCCATGAGTTGTGCGTTTGCGACGCGTAAATTGATGAATAGCCGCGAGACGAGCGTTGTCGATAGCACGTTCGTAGGAGTGCCAAAGATACCTTTGAAGAAGGGCTGGAGAAAGTTAGCGACAATGGCTTGGCTTTGGCTCGCGCGATACGCACCGGAGCCGCCTATAGTGCGGACGGGTCAGAGTGGCATGTGGCGGTGATTCCAGACATACACTCACAAACTCCGCCAAGATATTCACGAGATTTGCAAGGAAGAGGATGCTGAAAGGTGGTCAACCTCGAATGTTCGCACAGCCTTCATCCAGCACCTACAGAAAGTATAGAGCTCCGTTGTACAGGATCGTCTGCCAGAGCTTCGATGACGTATGTCGAAACTCCCTCACACCCATGCGTGCCGTCAGGAGGAACACAGCCAGGTCAAACAGGAGGACTCCCGACCACGAAACGCCAAACCCTTTGCATCGGAGGCGGTAAGCACCCTGTTGCATCGTGAAAGGTTTGATGGACTTACGAATCCCACTATCAAAGACATCGTTCAGCGCTGAAGAGCGTCACAATCAGATAGGCAGTACTCACTCCATCGACGTGAACAAGAAGTTGCAACCCGGGAGCGCAGATATCAAGGTGCCAAGAAGCACGTCGTCGCTTTCGGTCTCATCGCGTCGCGACGTTATTGCCCATACGGTTACAACACCTGTCCCCAACCCTATCGCAATCAGGAAAGCGAGTATCCATCGATTTCCATACAATGCGTGAACGCGCAATAGGAACGTCACTATTAGGGATGGCATAAGGGCAAAGGCAAGATTGAGCTGAAGGAGACGCACGTGCAGCAAAGAGCTGCAGTAGGGCCGTTACAGCGTCGTGCAATGATTGAAGGGAGGAGCATCTGTAATGAGTCTTCTGTCAATGACCCGTGCACGACGTAATCACCTGAAGGGATACTCACGTCGTGGACCTGGTGGCGTGAGCACCTAAGATTTCGTACTGTCGGACAGCGTTGAGAGCAGTACATGAAAGGCTCAATACAACACGTACCGCTATTGCGGCATGAGACAGTAGACCGATGTAGCGATTCAGAAAGAAGATGATGGATGGCATCGTCCAGAAGCGTTGACTGAACCAGATATGCCGGACTTCATCAGCAAAAGTGAGGATGTAGTCGTAGTAGAGTATGGCTGGGCTCAGCGTTCAGCGCGTTTCGGAAGGTCATGCGGGACTGCACGGACTAAGAGATGCCATGGTTATCGCCCAGTTCAACCATCTGTGAACGACAAGTCAGCGATTGGATTCGCCAAAGGTCATGAGAGACGAGTATGACTTACAGTGCCAGTACAAGGTCATGGATTCCTTCCTCAGCCATGCCTGGGTTCGTAGCTCGCAATCCCTTGGAAGCTCCTGGGCACAAGCTATGGGACGGTCTGTCACAATCGTAAGCAGCCTCTTCGCGTCTTCAGTCGCAATATGTATCTGTCTGCTTCACGCTGCAAACATGAGGGAGGAGCCATATCCATAGCGCAGCGTGGAAGTGGAAGCATAAGAAGAGTTAGCGTGGACGAAGCGGTACCGATACGCCAGATACAACCAGCAGCAGGCGCCATTGCCGCCGGCCAGCTCTCTCACAGGCCTGGAGAAGACGAGGTCGCCCAAGAGATCTCCCACGAGGCATGCATCTGCGGGCAAAGACACCGACGATAAGCGACCGTTCGGGTAGTAACCGCATGCACCTGAGTAGTCGGAGGTTCGAAAGAGGTAGTCTCCTTACGTTGTGAGAGTACGTAGACGCGGCGTGCGCACGGATACACGTGGCCTTGTGGTCCTGCCAGAGCGGGGATATCCACAACGGTGATTAACATGCATTAGCGCTCATCTGCACGCTCTCAAGGGATCAGAAGCCGACTAACGAACGTGTCGCCTGAATCGACGCGCAGGGTGTCATTGGCCGAAGAGACATACTACATTCACATTCAGTACGCGATTGGTGTTGGTAGTCTGACATGAGGTTGATAGCACTCGACATCCAGCTCGCATTTATCGTGAGCGAAGAGCAATTCTCGTGTGCTTGTGGGGCTAGTTGGCGAGATTATCTGCAACTCGTGATTCGAAGTGGCGACATCCGTCGCCGCTGAACGAGTATCGCTGGCCGCACGAAGGTTGAGAATCAAGCGGGACACCAGCGTCGCCGACAAAACGTTTGTCAGAAGGCCCGTCACTCCTTTGAGCACAGGCTATGCGGTCCGTCAGTGCATGGAGCGCTACGACTGGATGGGACACCCACTGGCGCAATCTGGAACGAGAGTGGTATAAGCTTTTGAACCCACGGCCACGATAAGACTTCAACGCACCAGAAAGCATACGATGTTTCCGAGGTTCGCGAGAAAGATGATCCTGTTTGGCTCTGAGCGGGTGAGCACCGAAAGCCATTGCAGAACGCACACGAAGTATGCCGCGCCTTGGAACGATTCGTCATCATACAGCGAAAGGTCAGGATATTTGCGGTACTCACCATCGCGCATGAAAATGTACCACAATCTTGACAGAGTCTTTCCGTGTGCGCGTACAGCCTTGTACGCGGTCAAGAGAAAGACAGTCAAGTCGAAGATGCTGAGTCCTGCCCATGAGATAGCGAAGCCTATCGAGTACTCTGATTAGACCTAGACATCGGTGCACATTGTAGTGAAGCAGCTGTACGCATTGCTCTACTCCGCATCAGCCAGCTACAGGAGTCAACTCTAGTCTCTGGAGGAAGGGCTCACTCTTGTTTCCTCATTACCGGGTTGCAACCCGCCATACCCAATATATAGATATCAGGAGAGTGATGAACGGTGAATGATGTGACGATTGCCCACTGCAGCTAGGTAAGAAGCGATCTTATGGCATGAACCTCCACGTACGATGGCCATCACAAGTGCAGCGGCAGCGACGAACATCACCGCACCGAGGACGAGCCTATTTTGGTAGATAGCGTGCACTCGCAAGACGAAGACGACTGGGAGTTGTATGAGCGTCCGATGGTACATCCAGTAAAGCGCGTTTACCTCCAGTGGTGACTTGTATGAATGCAGTGGCGATGAAATGAACGAACTGCATGTTGCGGCACCTAAGAGAGCAGTCAACGCGTTGTTATGCTCAGCGTGGAGCTTGCACTGCTGTATAGTGCAGCCGCGTCAGGTTCGGTCATCTCGGAGAGGCTACAGCTACGTACACGTTTGCAAGGGGAGGCCGGTCCCGAAGAGTGCGACTGATGTGGGAACATGGCTGAGAAGGGACAAGTATCGAGTGAGAAAGTACAGCGTGGATGCCGCCGACAGGCGCTTTCCCCTCAACCAGATCAGTTCGATCTCGTCGCCTAGGCATAGCAACCAATCGTAGTAGAGAACGCCTGGACTCAGTTGTCAGCCGCTGAATGTGCGACCATGAGGTGAGATGCGCCGTACAGATCGAAACGAGGCCGATAGCCCAGTTCCCCCAGAGGTGCTCATATGTTGACGTGGTTATGTCGACCATAGGCTTCGATACAATGCGCCCGCCGCCTGTTGCACCGTGAGTTCAGCTGTACCAGACAGGAGGGGTCATTGGCGACATACAACTCAATGCGGTGACGTAAGTTCGCACGGGGAGGTCGCCCGTATATGAAACTGGTCTGAAAGGAACTATGCGCGCTATAAATGCTTGTTCGGAGGATTGGCGTCGGCGAAGTGTCCACGGACAAGTCTCACGACACGCCGTCCGAAAGGGGAAGGTGATCGCACGACTACTCGCTTTCCTCGGACTGTATGCCAAATCGAGTAATCAGAACGATTATGATCACGGTTCGCACAACCCAAAATGCGTACCGTGTCAACTGCGAAGGGGGACAAAGACGCTAACGTGAGTCTCGTGGTCAAGGTGACGCGTGCAAAAGAAGTAGTATATTCACACTCGCTCTGATGTAATGTCGCGATGCACGGGCTGAGAACCAGCGTACAGTCTTGTCTCCGCGGGCTTTGCATAGGAAAACGCTGAATGAAAGGGCGCCGCGTGCTGCGCTGCCCTGTCATGAAGGGCGAACAAGACAACGCTTTTCCAGTGCGACTGCGGGGAAGAGGAAGTCATTCAACGCGAAGCTTCGGAGATAGTCGGGTGCCATGGCCGAGTGTGGGGAACCAATGAGAACGTATCAGAGCAGCGAGAGCGCTACGTCGCAACAGCGCCCGGGCCCGTAAACATCAAAACTCTCCTTGAACTGCTCATGGCGAAGGCAACATCCCTGGCTGCGAGAGGTCATGCGCAGGACTAATCCGTATTTCGACAGGCATAGGAATCGATGTGCAAGGTCTTCGGACTGGCGGACGCGATGATAATACATTTGTGGTACGATGACGGTTGAACCTTGACGTCATCACTCTTACAGGTACTTTCTGAACCACTCAACGGTATTCTTGAATGACCCCTCCTTGCCCGCCTTGACCTTAGGATCGCTCTGCGTATGTGCATTAGACTTGTGCGGCGACTTGATCATGATGAGCTGCGTACCATGTCGCCGCGGACGGCAAAGCCGTGCGTGCAGCCTTCGAAGTACGGCATGCTGAACCCGGCCTTGTACTCCTTGAAAAGCTCCTTAGCCTTCTCCTGCTTCTCGCTGCCGAACTGCTCGTCGATCTCGCAAGAATTGATCAAGAGCGGAATGGAGCCTCTCGACGAGAATTTCTGTCGGAAGCGTCAGTGGAGTTCAAGACCCAGATGGGTGATTAAGGCGCACCTCGAGATCCTGAATTGAAAGCAGAGATGGGTGCGAGGTAGCACCGACGTCGAGCTCGCCATCATAGACGAGGTCGAAGATCATCTTGCCGCCGTAGCAGTAGCCTGTCGCGCCGAAACGAGTGACACCTTCGGCCTTCAGCGCGTTGATTACGCCCTTGATGCGCGGCAGATTGTGTGCAGGGCTGTGGCGGCCGAGCCACGCCATGAAGTCGAACTTGGCACGGAGCTCGGGCTATACGTACGAGGTTGAGAGAAGTGTGAGCGGATGTAGTGGGAGAAAGAGTGCGTACATCCTCGAATAAGTTCTCAGGAGCAGGCTCTCCCTCGAAGAAGTCCGTGACGATGGTCTTGTAGCCGTTACGCGCGAAGTCATCAGCGAGCAGCTGTGTGAGCAGTCAGACTAGGTCCTATGACATATCGAGGCTGAGAACGCACCCGGTTGTTCACGAGTTCAAAGCCAAAGGCGTCGCAGAAGTATAGAACCACCTTGGTCTTGTCATACTCGCCGGATGGCGTTACGACGTAGCATTTGACTCCGGCAATATCGGTGTACGTGCCTGCAAGTCTTCTTCAGAGATGGGTTCCCCCAATCACGCGAATCGCGTCCGCACCTTCTGGGGTGCCTTCATGGTGTACACCTAGGAAATGATCAGAGATCTGCGTGTAGCATTCGAGCACCGATGACAACGTACCTTGAATACAATGCTCGCAGGACATGATCAAGGAAGAATAAGGGTATACAGACGGATCGCAAGTTCTGGCTCTCAGTGAGAGAGGCGCACATCCATGCTCTTAAGTACCTAAGCTTGAAGACGGACAACCCGTTTTCGCCTCATGAGCAGGAGCTCGACCGACGGATCGCAAGATTCCCGAAGAAACGGAGTGAGAACATCATGCCGTTCGCCGTCGGAGTTGCGGACCTGGATGTACTTCAGGAGCTTGCAGTTCCACTTGCGTATTGAGCTGCTCGTGCGTGTGAAGGAGGGGCGACGCTATCCTGGTACAAGACAAGGAGCGGCCGCGCGGGTGTTTGCGTTTGTCAACGCAGCTGATGTAACAGGTCAAGTTGGTGTGGGTCTACATCTCTCAGCACAAGCCTGTGCGCTGGTCAGCACATACAAAGGGAAGATATGACCAGAACAGTCGTAGCTCACAAATCGAAGAAGCAGAGACTAGGCAGGATTGAAGACACTTGCAAGATGACGCGTAAACGGGAAAACCGGGCCACCTATGATTCGCATAGCCTGATGGATATTGCACCGCGGAGGCTCAGGCTCGAAAATAATGATTGCAGCCCTCTGTATTCATGACTACAGGTGTTGGAGTTAACAGCATCTGCATACACGTCGTCGTCACCGTTTGAGACGAGTCCCACCAACCGCCGCGACGCGTTGCAGTCGCGCCGCGAGCGCAGACGAGCGCCTACGCGCCCTCGTGATTTGGTTACTGGTCCGTGCGCGCGGCCGGCCAACGAGTTCGCTGGCTCTCGCGTCCGGGAATCCTTACCACTCTGGCCTTTTGGCTTAGATCAAGTGTAGTATCTGTTCTTAATAGTTTAACCACTATTATGGGGGCACCGCCCCCATTATTGGTTATCTAATTTTTGCCGCCCTTGTTCCCTGGGCTCTGCTTGCAACCCGGGGACGCGATGACCTTGCCACTGCACTACTGGCTTGTGTCGTCGGGGGATTTCTTTTCCCCTCCTCCCTTCTCTTCTTTTGGCTATCTCTGCTACCTCGCGTGTTCGCGAGGTCATGGAAATAGCCAATGGTCGATTGGGAGGAGCCTTTACCATCATTATTTTTCAGTTGCCTTTTGTGTACTAGTAGAGCTTGCCAATGAAAATCTATATTTATTTTCGATGTTGCTACAACTGCGCGTGCATCTCAGAACAAGTCGGCATGCACTCGACGACGAGTGGATGTAATATGTAATCATGTCGCAATCGCGAGTGTGCAAGTAGTGATGTTCTGGCTAGTTACAACATGAGTTACGGGATACATGTATGGGTACATTTCCGGCGTAGCGAGTCGGTAGTGTTTTTATGGCACTGTCTTCAATGCGGTCTCGAAATCAGCCACGATGTCAGAGATATGCTCGATGCCGACAGAGACACGAATGAGATCTGGCGTAACACCAGATGCGATCTGCTCCTCCGAAGAGAGCTGTTGGTGTGTGGTCGTCGCTGGATGGATGACGAGGGTCTTCGCGTCGCCTGCGCGTAGGCAGTGAGCACCAACTGTATGAGATAAGGGCCGGAAGAGAGACATACCAACGTTGGCGAGATTGCTCGCCAGGCGCAAGCTGTCCACGACGCGGCTCGCGACCTTGGGATCCTTGTCCTTGATCCCGAACGCGAGCATACCACCGTAGTAACCCTTCCGAAGCACCTTCGAGCCCGCTTGATGGTATGGGTGGTTCTCCAGCCCGAGATAGCTGACCCAGTCCACCTTCGGGTGTGTCTGTAAGTACCGCGCCAACGCCAGCGCGTTATCCGAGTGGCGCTCGCCACGCAGAGACAGCGTCTCAAGACCCTGCAACAGCAGGAACGCGGCGAACGGCGACAAGGTCGCGCCCAGGTCGCGCAGAACCTCGATCCGGACTTTGATTGCGAATGCAAGCTTGCCAAACTGCTGCGCGTACTGCATGCCGTGGTATCCCTCGCTGGGCTCGGTGAACGACGGGAAGCGACCCTGCGTCCAGTCGAACCTGCCGCCATCAACGATCACGCCGCCGAGCGTATTGCCGTGCCCGCCGATCCACTTGGTTGCGGAGTGCGTAACAATGTCCGCGCCATAATCAATCGGGCGAATCAAGAAACCACCCATGCCAAAAGTGTTGTCAACCATGAGGGGTACGCCGTGCTTATGGGCGACGTCTGCGATGTCCTGAAGAGGCGAAACGTTGAACTTCGGGTTGCCGATGCTCTCGACGTAGACGGCCTTAGTGTGCTCGTCGATCGCGGCGTCAAACGCAGCAGGATCGTCCGAAGTCACAAACTTGACGCCGATCCCGTACTTCTTCAGCAGAACCTTGAACTGGTTGTACGTTCCACCGTAAAGGTAAGAAGTTGAGACGATGTTGTCTCCAGCTTGTGCGAGCGCAGAGATCGCCTGTGTGAATGATTTAGATGCGTTCGGGCTGTATAGGAGTTCGGGCTGACCATGAACTGTGCACTCTGACCACAGGATGCCGCAACGGCCGCAACTCCTCCCTCAAGTGCAGCCATCCGCTTCTCGAATACATCCTACAGAACCCGCCAAGATCAGCTGCGCCCGAAACCCGAGATCAGGATGATACAGACCACTGTCGGATTGCTCATGCGAGAGTACGCATGTCCAGGATCCACCAGGGAGAAGAGATCGGCGCCGTGCTATGCAGTTCGTTCGGGAACTTGGAAGGATAATGCCACGTGAGGTACGTACAGCAGAGTTGTTGAATACGAACGAAGTCGTAGCGTAGATGGGAGGTGCGCGCGACCGCGTCGCGGGGTCAGGAATTTGCCCTGCATGCAGTTGCAGCGTCTCAAACTCTGGCTCCCTGTACGGTGATCAGCGACAGAAATATGATGGGGAAATGTAGAGCGCACTTGTGGAATCTGTTCTCAGCCATGGCGTTGATAGATTGGAGCCACGGTCGAGCTAGATTATATAGGCCGCGGCTGGTGGTGAGCGTCAAGTTGCGCTCTGCGCACGCCATCCCTCCGCCACATCGGAGCACCTGACGGGCTCTACCTAGTGCGACCTAGCCACCTTATCTGCATTGGGTACGTTCATCTCATAGAAGTGCCGGTGTTCGTCGGGTCGTGAGCAGGTTGCCAGGCATCCGAGCCCATCGAGAGAGTTTGGAACAAGGTGGACTTCGCCGCCCGTTGAGCTACGCATCATAAGCGCCTCAAAGCTCCCACGACCGGGATCAACACGGGTATCGTATGTGATCTTATGCTATGGGCATACAAGAGTCACTATAGGATATGATATAGGCACAGGGTGTCATGCACGTCTTAAAAGTATAGGGAGCAGTATGTATAGTCGTAAGGACGCTGTCCGTAAGATTGAAGCACAACAGCTTGACATCAGCGGGCAACGTCAAGAGTACAATATGGTGATCGTGAGCATGGTCCTCCTTGCTGTACAAGTCGTACCATCGGAAGGGAGAACCGTATGGGGAAAGTCTCAAGATCGGAGAGTGAAGGGAGCAAGAAGGCGTCGGGTGAGCGGATGGGCCAAAGGTATTGCGAAGGTGCGCACGCCAGCCTGATGTCGCCGCGACCACCACACATTGACCACGGTCTGCAGTTATGAGAGTTTAGAACAGCTTCAGCTGCTCCGCATCCTCCCGAGACGCTTGTGAGTCTGTTCGGTCATATGGGTGGTGTCCTGATCACGACGTGGAATAGCATGTCAGGTCGAACGGAGAAGGCTTCTTTGCCTCCGATTCAACCCGCCTCACGACCGGACAGAGAAGCTAGCAAGGATGATAGAGCGTGAAGCCGGTCATGGCGTTGAATACAGCGAGAGTGGGCAGAGACAACGACGTTGCCATTGAGATGTATGGAAGGACTCCGGGCGGATAACGCGCATTGAGCGCGGTCCATTCCCTGATCGCTCAACTGTTCAGACACCTCGGAGCACTGTGCGCATTCTTCAGATGTATCACTAACATCAAGACGTTCTACACATCTGGCTTAGGACGAGGCTGGTCGGAGTGTTTGTATCTCGTACCCGGATGGACGCATGTGGATGACCTTTGAACAAAGGAGACAGAGCGCAAGGCGAACGGGCGAGTCTTCTCACGCGATCACTTGTTGGTGTATCACGGGTATGTGTCATTCGTGGCTTAGAGCGCGGAGATAGGTTCTGCGTAATCACGAACACCAGATGGTGGTGGTCGAGGAAGAATGGGAGGCTGGGAGATTTGGACGCGCGGGTCGGGGTATCGGGCCGACGCCGCAAGATGCGAGACTGAATTCCGAACATAGCACTTATCAGTCGCACTTCCACCAGCTCAGTCCATTGAATGTTTTAACATACTACACTCTCATCTTTGCGCATACCACCGGGAGTCATAGAGATCCCACAATTAAATCCGATGTATAATACCAAGAAATTACTGTCCAACGTCAACGCAGCCTTCGTAGCTCGTCAAGCCCAAGATCACTCCACTTATTTCCGTATCTACTATGAGCCTCATCCAGTGCGGTGTGAGCTCTCCTCATTGCCTCGTTATAAATGTGCGGATTCCCTCCCATCTCCAGCGCTCGCGCAGCAGTTTTGAGGGCTTCCGCCGCGGCTTTAAGCCTTTGTGCGGGATCTTGGTGGACAGGAGCTCGCGCGTGCGGAGGCATCTGCGCCATAGGCGGACCCTGTGGAGCGTGCAAGTGTTGTGCGTATGGGGCAGGCATTGTGCCATATGGGCCCGCGTACGGGTTAGGCGGTGCGCCGTAGAGATACGGGCCCGCACTAGCTTGTATGGCGTAAGGATGGTGCTGAGGCCAGGGTGCGCCGAACACTGGCGGGGGCGGATTCGCTGCGTAAGGTTGTTGCGGAAATCCATGTTGATAGTAGATATTAGACGGTGGATCACCGCCTTGAACGTATGGCTGTTGAGCTGCATGTTGCTCAGGGGCCGCCGAGGATTCATGCATTGGGCCTTGGGACCCAGATGGAAGAAGAGTCGGCCAGGTCGGTTCTGGCTCCTGGTCCTGCGCCTCGCTTCTTTCTTCACTCTCCGCGCCGTCGTACTCTGATCCAGACACTTCATCCTCTTCCTGCTCCGATTCCGACAATCTCTCACTGCTTGGTTCGTGTACGGGCGTCGCCGGTTGCTCGGTGGCAATGCCTGACGGGTGTGGAGCCTGAGGGGAGGATGGATGGGTGCCACCACCGAATTGCAGACTACCGAAGGTATATCCGGGATGTTTGAGTCCAGGCGGAGCGTCAGGGACGTGAGCCGAGTCGCGTTCTGTATTCGTAGGGACAGTAGGAGCCTTCGGTGGAGGTCTCCTGCGTCCACGTCCTGCGCGAGGCGGGCGGTTGGTGGAAGCCGCATCCCCTGGTGCTGTGTCGGGAACAAAAGCAGCAGCCTCATCATCTATCCGCGCGTACGCGGTAGACGATGTGTTGACATTCTCCGTTCTGGGCGGTTCTGAGGCGCGAGGGGCGCCCGGTATCTGCTTATCGGTCACGGGTTTAGGCTGCTTCGGCGTATAATATCGCCACTTCTTGCGCTTGGGTTGTTGTGAGGAAGAAGAAGGCGCGGCGATCTTGGGCGGGTTCGAGCTGGGGTTTGGATTCTGATTCGTGGGGGTAGGCGATGCAATAGACGGCCAGGGTTCTCGTAAGGTCGATGATTCGCGAAGGATAGAGTTGAAAACGAGTGCGGAGACCCCGCCTTCAGGACGCGCATTTTCAGATGGGTGATCAGGGAGACTGAGCCCAGGAGGAGCATCTGGAATGGGGGAGACGCCTCCGATACCTGCTAGTCGAGCATAGGGCGCCTTCTGTGCCAGAGCTCTGAGTCCTCCTCCAGCCTTACTTGGGCGCTTAGTGGAGGGCCGGGCTTGCGTGGGTATGTGCGGTGGAGGGTCGCGTACCCACACGGCAGCAGTCGCGTGCGGAGAGCTGGGCCTTGAGATAGGGGTGGCTGTCGGCAAGATGGTGATTACAGGCGGCGGAGCGATTGAATGAGTGAGGTCTGAAGCGTCCGGAGTGTTGGTACTGGTGAGACCTCGATCTTGCGCAGCGACGTTCTGGGGAGCCTCGAGTGTATCACTCGGCTTAGTCGTGGAAGAACCCGGAGCGGGTTGCGTGGTCAGTTGATGCCAGTCTACATCATCGCGTATAGAAGCGTTGTTGGTGGTGGTAGCGATTCGTTCGTCAACGCCAACACTATCGGTATTGTGCGGCGACGATATGGAGAGAGGAGTGCTGTCTGGGATCGGCGCCTGCGTTTTGCGTTTCGCCTGTCTCTTCTCGTTCTTGGACATAACGGGAACCCATTGCGTAGTCTGATCTGGATGCGTATGAGCACTTCATGCACAAGCAACGCAAAGGCATTCTCATACCGTCTTCTTCTATATCTGCGGGTATGTCGAGAGAGGAGCCTGTTAGGATCATCCAGATCAGTTAACGTTCACTATTTCGATTGTATCAGAGACGTACCTTCGACAATGCAACGACCATCATCTCTCGACGCGCGGGATGTATCTTCCACACACTGATCGATGTCGCCAGCTTCGGAGCTTGCTTGACTACTCGCCATGTCTGAACCGAGTGCATCGTCTCCGCTCGTTTCGACGGCTGTAGTGATGGACTCTTCCACACGTGTAAGGGCTATCTCGGACAATTCTTCAATGACGACGGGAGGACTCGTCACAGACGGTGTATGGTTGACGGGGGGCACACTGCTCGCAGGGTCTTGTCCGACCTGGCGCTTTCCTTTCTTCTGTTTCTTCTGTTTCTTCTTCTTTGAGGCCGATCTTGGCGGGTGACCATCTGTCTGTCCTGCGTCATCTACGAGATGAATAAGTTGTTGAGCATGAAGCCGATATAGGCTGGTTAAGGAGATGGATGTTCCGAACCGAGTGGTATGGGGAAAGTCGAAGCGTACTTTGGATGCGATTAGTATCCGAAGTGTTGATGGTGGTTTCCGGTTCTTGTGTGCCATCGGGTTCGGGATCTGTGGCGCCGCGTCAGCTCATTCAAGGAATAGCAGTCATGACTCGGAGTCATACACACCCGTGCGAAGGGTGTCAGTGATCGCTGGCTCAGACTGTGTGACGCGTTGTTCAGCGTGCTCTCCAGTAGCCATCCACTCGCTCTGCGTGCCCGCATCAAATTCTCTGAACGCCTCCGCAAGGGCTGACCGCGAGTCAGGCAACGGACGTGCAGATGCAACCATGTCGGCGGCCAGAGCCTCAAGAAGGGCAGCAAAGACCGACTCGAAATCTGTAGCTTCGTTGATAGCATATAACGGGTTGGGTGATGGAGTGCGCGCCGTGGCATCACTTCGATCCTTTGACTTCGCGCTGTCGCCTTCATTTCTAGTGTCAGATCTAGGGGTATTGGAGGTGGTATCTGGTTTGTGCTGTCCTTCCTGGTTGACCGACACATCCTCCGCTTCCTTGATAGAAGCCTGCGCAGTTCGGCGGGAACGGGCCTCTATGGAGGATAGGTAAAGTCAGCGTGGGACCTGGCTTGAATAATGGTGAAGATAAGGTGAGACGACGGATCACCGAGAGATGTCGCAATACACGCGATGGTAGCAACAAGACCTAAGTGCCCTAGTCAAGCCATAGTCTCCCGAGCATGGAGCACATCGAGGTGAGGGAAAGGGCAGGAGTTGCCTATAGTTTGCAGAGGACCAGTTGAAAGCAGACGTACCTTCCATCGTGTGAGGTTCTACCAAGCCTAGATGATGACACAAGAAAAGACCCTGAAGGGCGATAACTACAGGTTCGAGTTGGTACCCTGGACATGATGAAACACAAGCACATACAGGACAACCAGCCAAGGTTCGCTGGTGACGCGCCTGGTCGTACCGCATTGCCTATTATTGATCGCGGATGTCAGTATGAGATCCATATACGTGGAATGGTAAATGAGGTGATGCGTATCGTTCCATGTATATAAGACAGCGGCAGATGTACCTTGGCCCCGCCTCTGTGCAACGCGAAGGTCACTGCCATGTTCTCTCGTGGTATTGTCCGCAGATTCTGTACGAGTATATCAGCAGGCAGCCTGAAAGCGCTCGGCCATAACACACCGGCGTGAGGGTTGGAGGCTCTCGCTAGTTCTGGAAGTGCGGCAGAGGGCTCGGTAGTAGTCCTCCCATCAGACTGCAGCTCGGATGCCTCGCTGTCACGAGGATTTAGGCCATGCAACTCGCTCGTTCTGGAAATCCCAAAGATGTGTGAGTGTGACAGCGCAATTCAGCGTAGTTCATGCAAGAGCCACGTACTGATTACTTGATGAAGGTATCACGTTGAGCGTGGATCCAGCGATAGCGGTGCTAGTACCGATGGGATCTGTATTCTGAACGGTACCAGTCGAAGAGGGTGTTGGACGACGCATGCGTGTTGTACCATCCTGAGTCGAGGATGAATGGTTCTTGACAGGTTCGATACCGGTGGGATCGGACGGGAGGGAACTTGAAGCGGCCGCTCTTCGTTCATCCGCCAGCTGTTTAGCCCGTTCCGCCCTCGTTTTTGCCTCGAGGAAGAGTTGTGTGGCGATATCTGCACGAAGTTACAAGCAACGATGTCAACATGAGGATTTCGCTCCGAAGAGAAACAAGGAAACAGGAAATGAAAGACGAGGTGAAAGGTGGCGCGAGAAGATACGCGAGGATGCACGTACCTTCTCTATCGTCATCAAGGAGAGATCTTAGGTGAATTTGCAAATTGTTCATACAGACTTCCAAATACTTCAACCAAGCGACGAGCCCTGTGCGACTAGGTTAGCCGTAGAACCACGCCGGCTGGGATAGTATTTCCATGGCGTACAGTTCAGCGCAACTCCAACAAGCCCCGGCCCCTGTACGACGTCTTCTGAAGCCTGGGCTTCTGTATCCTTGTGTCATGTGTCAGTCCGGGTGCAGTAGGACTCATCGACAGCGTCTGAACTAACCTTGATCTCCTCATGCGTCCAACCACCGCAACAACATCTTGACAACTCTTGAACGTGGCCGCAACAGAAGCGGTGTCTTCGCCCTCGAGAGAAGTCCGTGTACAGCGTTGCCGCGACTACGCTTTCTAGAGACTGGACCGGTTTGGCCTTGAGATGCGCGTCCGAAAAAATGTAGGTTTGAGGCAGCTGGACCCAATCCTTGTGACCAAAATCAACTTGAACGTTGTAGATCCCCGTGCGTATATGGAAAAACCGATTGACCAGGTTTGCCCTCCCCTTGATAGTAGGTACTTCAGATGCTAGCCCCGCGAGTGAAGAATTTGGGGAGAAATCAAGGGGTTTGAAGGCGAACTGTAGGAAGCGAAATCTGCGCTGTGGGGGCAAACTGGCATCATTGAGGTATTTAAGCACAATGGCGGCCACGTGTGTTTGTTCGTGCCCTTTCTCGGAGGTGACGAGGGTAATAACGTGCGCCAAAGCCGCGTTTGCCAAAGTATCGTGGTGAAAGTCAAGCCATTGCGTGAGGTCGTTCCAGGCCCGCGGATTGCCCGACGCTGACACGGCTATATCGCGCTCGGACTGCCACATCTTGCAGTCGCGCTTGTGTCTACGTTTCCAGTCCTTCAATTGGCACTCTTGTGACTAGAGATCAGGGTGGTGAGCACGAGTATGGAGCGCATGCAAGGCTTATACACAGGACCACGCACGCAATATTGGGTGACACCACAGCCTGTGCACCGAGATAACTTCAACGAAGGGTCCCGACCCATACATCGCGACTTCTTCTTGCAGAACTCGCAGGTTGGATGGGTATGGACGGGTTCCGCCTCGTGGAAAACACCGGGAGGGACATTGGACATGGGCGTCAAAGACGAAGCGACGGGTAACACAGCCTACGCCGTTGCAGAACCCACGCCAACTTGAGCGCTCAGAGCACGTGCAGTATGATGTAAATGAACTTTATAACATAGTTGTACGGACAGATAGACCAAGAACGTGGAATGTACAGGGATGGCGCATAGAAACGGGCATAGACGAGCACAGCAGATGGGGCATTCCGAGATGGTGGTGGTGCATGGCCAAGCTGACCAGGCACAAATATCGGGCCGCAACTCAATTTAGACGATCTAACACGGAACAGCGTTTGAACACGGAATGTTCCTTCCTCTCTAATTCTGCTTACATCCCCGTTAGAAGGATCTATATAGCGGCATGCGCATGCGCGGTGGACCAAGAAAGCAAGGCAACAACAAAAGAGAGGAGATGCTACGGAACGCACAAAGTACGCAGAGGTGCACGGGTATGCTACGCGATTCTCGCGAGGTATAAACAAGAAGTAAGGGTCATACAAAGATCGAAGGAGATGGTTTCAAGATACCATAGCATCGCACAGATCCATCCTATCCCACACCGGACAAGAGCACAGTATCCAACATCAACAACATTTACTTATCGTTGGGGTATCCCTGGTACGCCCGTATCGGGTACGCCGCCGGGTGCGGCAAGTATTTGTCGCCCTCGTAGGAGCTCGCGCTGTCCGGAGCCGGACCGCTGGTGTTGTCGAGCATAGATGGGTTGCGCATGTCAAGCGTCGACTGCCCGTGCATGTCGACGGCCTCGAGCTGCACTTCGGGGCCGACACCGCGGGCGAAGAAGCGGCGGTGAACGGCTTGCATCCACTGGGGCACGAAACCGCCGGGAGGAACGACCCAGGGTTCGGCTTGGCCGTAAGTGGGCGGGACGATGCGACCGCCAGTGACGACCTTGAGGAACCATGGCACACCGTTGATGACGAGGTACGAGCCGATACCGGCGATGACACCGTACGCAATGCTGCAAACATACATCAGTATCATAGCGTAGGGGAAGTGTGTCAGATTGGACGTACTTGTATGTCAATGGGATCATGACGATGGTCAAGAACGCAGGAACAGCGTCGCCGATATAATCCCAGTTTATCTCGCGAACGTTGCGGATCATGAGCGTGCCAACGATGACAAGCGCGCCACCCGTCGCCCAAGCTGGGATGCTAGCGAAGATGGGCGCGAAGAATACGCTGACGAAGAAGGCGAGGCCAGTGACTATCGCGGTGATGCCGGTTTTGCCACCATCCGCGATACCCGTTGCACTCTCGACGAATGCGGTAACGGGGGACGTGCCCATGAGAGCACCCATCGAGATCGAGAACGCGTCAACACAGTATGCGACCGTGCTGCGCTCGAAGTCGAGGGTGACGGGGTCGCGCAGGCCGGCGAACTTCGCCATACTGTACAGTGTACCGGTCGTGTCGAGGATGTCGACGTAAAGCATCGTGACGAGGGCATACCAAACACGCCCGTTTCCGTAGTTGTAGTCGAGCGCATTGCCGACATGTTGCAGCGGGTGGAAAGTCACGACCTGCTTGAAGAAGTTGAATGCATCGTCGCCAGCGGCGGTGTGCGGGAAGAGCGTGACGGACGTCGGGCGCGGCCATGAGATGATGCTCGTGAGGAAGATGCCCATGAGCAGCGCGCCCTTCACGCGATACAGCATCAACAGAACGGTGAAGATGCCTCCGGTGAAGATGCCGAGCCATGTCGTCGGTGAGCGCATGACGCGCGAGTCGCAATAGTTGGCCATGCCTGATGATCGTATCAGAGATAGTTGCGCCACAATACAAGGCAATCGTACCGTCAATGAAGTGGTCTGCTGTGCAGCCACCGAGGCCGACAAGGTTGGTGACGTCTCCGCCAATGACGAAGAGACCGCCCGATCCAAGACCGATGAATCTGTCAATATATCAGTCGCCTGTAAGGTGCCACAGACAACTTAGCCACGTACGCAATGAAGATTCCAATTCCAGCACCAACAGCCATAACAAGAGACTGGGGCATCACGCGAGCCAACCACTGGCGAAGACCAAGTAGCGACAGGATGAAGAAAATCCATCTAGAGTGCCAGAGATAGTGCGTTCACACCAATGGGAAGAGGGCCAGAGTGCATTGAGTGAGTGGCGTGGGTGCGAGAGCGGTAGCGAAGCGCAGTAGCGACAAAGCCAGAGGGAAGTCGCGCCATAGAAAGAGATTGAGTGCCGTAAGATCACAGAGACCAGGAAGCAAAAGGAGATCACAGATAGATGGCAAAGCGCAGTCAAGTAAGCGGTTGGAGAGCATCAACCGAGTCGCGATGCATCAGCAAGATGGAAGAGCGCCATGTCGTAGTGGGGCGTGAATGGAAAGCCAGGGTGGACGGTTGCAATAGGCGCCGGGCCGGTGTGTGCGGTCGAGGTCATGCGCGGATACGGAGAAAGGAAAGACGAAGAGAGCAAGTCGAGACGCAGAGAGCGGCATCGGAGAAGAGGTCGTGGGTGAGAGCAAGGCGAACCGAGGCGAGTCAAGGCCGGATAGGGAAAGCAAAGTTGAAGAAAGGCGCACATCAGCGTCTAAACCCAGAGCTTCGATGTTAGACGAAAAGACGTACCCCTCCATGAAAACGGCGGCAAGCGCCTCAGAGTAAGTAATCATGCCGCTCCCGGCGACGCCAACGATGGAATAGGTGAACTATGGATATGCAACATGTCAGTACGCGTTATCGCTCGCCAAGACCACGGTGCAGGGTGAAAGTCAATATGAAGTCGTCCAATATCCCAACGAGGTCACCAGCAAGGTGATCGTAGGCTAGCGTAGATCACCATACGCCGAGTATCGGCGGCGGCGGCGCTTATGCGCGGCGGGCCACATTTCACGCATGACGTCTTCCATGCTTGACACTTCCCCCCGACGGCGAACAAGCCGAGTAGCAAGAGGAAATAGGACTACTCACGTAGGCGTTAAGACCCAGTCCTGGCGCCATGCCGACAGGTAAGTTTGCGAAGAAGCCCATGAGGCAGCTGGCGAGTGCGGAAATGGCGGCTGTAGTGGTGATAAGGTCGCGTTGGACTTCCGCGACACACTGCGTGTAGGTGACATCGGGGGAGTTGACGCAGTCTACGCCCTCGGGACAGACACACGTCCCACCGCTATCCTTGAGGATAGAGGCATTCACGGAGATAATGTAAGCCATCGCCGCCCATGTCGTCAATCCCGCGCGTAACTCCGTCTAAACGGCTTCAGTGATATAGAAATATGTGGGGGACGGTGGGGACGTACGAGGAACCGTGAGCCCTCACGCTCGCGCACGACGCCAGAGCCCTCCAGTTGGAACCACCTCCCGACAATGGAGTCCGCCACCTACAAGTACCGTTCAACTTCCACAATCCCAAACACATGGAAAGCACATACATGGGCGTTAATCTTGTCGACAAACGTAATCATCCTGGGCGCTATGTACAGCTCGCAGACGCAAGCAAGAGCACGGCGAGCGAGAGGCGGATGAGGGAAGTGGGCAGCGAGGGAAGATGCGCTAGAAGAGAGAGCGTATCATGGAAGCATATACTTATATCTCTGTGAAGCTTGCTCTCATATTGCCCATCGGGAACACTGATCTCACGCCGTTCCATGATGCATCATCCCTCCACTTTCCCATGTCCGATAGCGCGCACTTCGTGCGAGCTGCGACACCTACGCAGCTCACAGGTTGGTAAGAGGTTCTCTGGGCGGATGCTGCGTCGGAGGAGGTGAACGCGGGGAGACGCAATGAACGGATTCCCACATGGGGCCACGAGCGAGCGGAGGTACTCGGGGCCGACGGGGCCACAGCAGAACACGCGCCCGCCCTTTTCCATTTCTGGAATAGCGCCGCACTACTGACCGCAGACCGAAGCTTGGCTCTTACCTCCATCCTCGACCTACAGCCACTATGCCGCCCAGCACAGACCCTTGTAGGGCGCACACTGAGTTGTGTGATTGAGTCGGAGCAATGCTCGGCCATATACAAAGGCATTTCCATGCTAAATCGCGAGTCGCGCCATATTTTCTCCCTTCTCGCTCCGGATGTTCTCCCAATCATCTTCTCGCTTTGACTTGTGACCAACATAACGATTGCGGACCAATGGCGCTGTCCCCCGAATCTTCTGAACGTTACGCTGTCTGAGATCGTACCTTGCCGAAGCGTCCGACTGGGGTCAAGCGGTCCCCTCGGCAACGCTCGCACCTGCCTCCATCGGCAACTTGCTGGGATGTCCTCCAAGTTGCGAATCCAGCTCCGCCCAGATTCCTGATGCACAGGACTCAATGCAGCGCCATGTATAGTGTCTATATGCGGCATGTATTATGGGCATGTGCGCGAGCGCGCGTACAGCAGTCGTTGGGCGGTCTCCGCAACCCTTCGGTTCTCTGTGGTATGATACGGCGCGTTGTATAGAATGCTGCGGGCAGAACCGGCTCGTCATGACGCCGGGTGATAACCTTTGGGTCCAATCTCTCTATATTCTACACTCGAGCCTCAGCAGTGCAATTGGCACCGGTTTAGTTCGCAGCGCGCCCAGCGCCGGATGGTCGTAGACGACCATCCCCTTGTCTTCTCTCCATACTTCAAGCATATGGCGACGAAGCACCAGAAGATACGGCGAAAGCACTGCTATGGCTGGTTGCAACATTACCACTATAAAATAAGCGTGCGGGCTGCCACGCTGACTTTCGTTCCACAGAAAGATGTGGGCGCGGGTAGGGAAGCGCCACTCCCAAATCTGACAGAACATCCGGGGTCGTGACGCGTTTGCTAGAGCCAGATGGACTACGTGGCTGGTCCTTGATCATCGCACACTGTTCGGGCCACAGACCAAGTGTGAGCCGCCTGCCTCTGTCAGGAACCCCGACGTGTTCGAAGATATGACCCGTCCGATGTCGGGTATGCGGGAGTCGAAGTAGCTCAAGGCCGCATGCTCAGCGGGATATCGTGAACTCTGAGCAGACAGGACATGAGAGCATGATTCCGGGATACTATACTTGTGCGTGCATCTGCGGGAAGGCGCGCCTGCAAGCTCGATGTAGGGTAGAGTGGCGATAGAAGTCGCTGCGGGCAGTGGGCGCACGCCGACGGTACCTGTGTACCTGTGTACGGCCGAGTACTTCTCCTGATCCTCGCGTCCAGACGGCATCTAGCCTCATGAGAAGGAGGAAGAAGCTTGTCAGAGAGAAGCGGATCGTCGTCGAGGTGACTGTGGCGCCCTCCGCCCATGGGCGTAAACAGTTCATTGAGATCCCGCGAAAGATAGCGCATACGACTCAATGAGTACGACATGCCGACATTGGGTCATATGAACTTGCGACTGACGAGAGCTCGATGATAGCAACATACGAAGTCGGGCAAGATGTGCCACGAGCTCTCAATAGCCAGCGCTCACTTATGAAATGCGCGATCGCGACCACTGTACCCGCATCGAAGTCTGTGAGGTGCTCTCGCGTGATAGAGTTGTAAGATGTGGTTGTATCATCCGGCGATAGCGGCTCCTCTGAGGTATCAAGCGAGTAGCCTCCAACAACACCGCCTCCAAGTGTTTCGATGCCGCATCGAACATTTCACTTCCTGCTCTGACTTTGTAGGGACAGAGATGCCGGCTGGGATGTTTTAGCTCCCGAGAGCAGAGACCCAGCACAACTCCGGGAGGTACGAGACGCGCAGTAGAACACATACTCTGCTACTCACAGATACCGTGGGCGCCTACATGTGGGCGAGCGTGTGTATGTGTAACCGCGATGCCCGCCGATCCTCATCGTTGCTTCAGAGCGTGCGTTCATACTTGTTATCTGTGGAAGCACGACGTTCTGGAACTGTAGAAGTTGTCCAGATGATATGGCGCCAGTCTAGTAATAGATGTTCCTGTCGGAACTTCTCTGTCATACGTAGCCAGGCGAGATGAAAGCACTTCAATTGGCATCGAAAGCGGCAGAGCCTATTATTGCATCCACGTTCGTTCATACATCATCATATCTGCACATCCACAGCATCAACGATGAGTTGAGTACATAGCACTGTACTAGCCGGCTCGTCCGTCTTCTCCTGAGCGCATCCGCTTCAGCTACGACCTGCCCGTGGTATCGAATATTCGAGCTTCATATCGTGAAGTACTACGTATAGATGCGTAGACATTGGTCGAAATCGATGTGATTGAGAGCTTTGGTATATCCGGGGGACGGAGTATGACGACTAAGCGGTGTGATGGTGGTACTTAGGAATCGAGAGTGAGCGCCTGGAAGCGCGAGTCGTGCGGCACCTCGGCCCGATGCCAGCCAAGGATGCCGCGGACGTTGAGCGGCTCTGCCACGCCGACGACCAGCGGATCCGACTCTTATCTAGCTCTCGCTCTGCCCTGTCCGACCTTATGTTGAATGCTTCGTATATATTCGAATGTACCAGCGGCACACAAGGATGATGATATGCATTCAGCGACTTGAAGCAATGGCGTGGGTCCTTCAAGCAGTACAGTACTTACTTCAGCTGTCCGTCGAGTTGCTCCCGGCACTCGTCACCCCAACTATCTCGCCACCTTCGCGCGCTCGTGCGATAAACGGCTTCGGCTCAAACCTACATCACTGATCAGGACCATCAGGGGTCTGTCGAAAAAGCTTGAGGCTGGCCAGCTAGCGCCCACACCGCATGGTCTTCCTCATTCCAACCAGTCCTCCACGCGTGCGCGATGTTGTGTGGCGGCCTGTGCATCGTCACAAGCTGTCGTCTTCTTCAGCTTCTGGTGGCCAGATCCACTCTGAATACGACCCGTGTATAGGCGGGTAGTGGTAGCCTATAGCATATAGCGGGTCGGTTTGGGCCGCAGGGTACCTAATTGCGGCAGGTCGGTAAGGAGGAAATGCCTCCGCCCCGCACTTGCCTTTGTGCCTCTCTGTGGTCGACGCTCTAATTCCGGGCGTTCGAAAAGTTTGCCCGGATAGAAATTTGCGTTGACGCAGTCGGAGCAAGATGAAGATGATGTCCCGATGCCAAGCATGTGCTCTGCTTTCTGCCGGGCTTACGGGATCCTGTCCCCCCGTGTGCAGCATAGATATAACGACGACGTTGCCGTTACCCAACTTGTCTCTCCTCTCCGACCTCTCTTCGTTCTCTCCCTAATTCCCTTTGGCCGCGGCTTTGGGCAGGATGAGCGGCAGGATTACCATCGTGGACCGGATCAACGCCCATGTACGCCCACATCCGTTCATACAAACGTTCGCGATGTTCATTGCTCATTGCTTGCAGGTTGCCGACTCGTTCTTCGGGCGCTGGTTCCAGCTCGAGGGCTCCGGCCACAAGAAGGAGCGCGAGGGCTCGCGCTTCTTGACTGAGATTCGCGCAGGTTTGACGACCTGGGTGCGTGACGCCGTTCTATCCTACGATGTCGAGATACTGACCAGTCGTGTGCAGGCGGCAATGGCCTACATCATCTCAGTCAACGCTTCCATCCTCAAGGACAGCGGCGGCACCTGCGTCTGCCCTGAGGGTGTTGACTGCGTTACCGCGCCTGACGACACATACACCGCTTGCGTCGCCGAGGTACAACGGGACCTGATCACGACGACCGCTGCTGTAGCTTGTCTGGCGTCGTGCCTAATGGGTCTGCTTGCCAATCTTCCTGTCGGCATGGCACCTGGTCTTGGTCTCAACGCATATGTGAGTTCACCTCTTCACTGGTGAGCGGTCGAAAATGCGATGGCGGAGGTCAAGTCATACCGTATGACTAGATGACATTTGTGCCTCCGCTTATCTTCCTTCCGCTCCGCTCGCACCTTTCCGGTCATTCATTCATCCAGCAAAATGCTAACTGTACCCTGTAGTTCACCTACTCAATCGTCGGCTTCAATGGCTCGGGTATGATCACCTATCGGGAGGCGCTGGCCGCCGTCTTCATGGAAGGCTGGATCTTCTTCATACTCTCCATCCTCGGATTGCGTCAATGGCTTGCGCGCGCGATGCCCCAGTCGCTCGTTATGGCCGTCGGCGCCGGTATCGGCATGTTCATCGCGTTCATCGGTCTCTCCAGTAGCGGTCTCTTCGTCATCGGCGGTGATACCACCAACCTGGTCGGTCTTGGCGGCTGCACCAGCGACCACATGCTGGAGGGGCTCGCAAACTACTGCGATTCGCGTGTTCTTCGTTCGCCCACGACTTGGCTCGGTATCTTCACGGGCGGTGTCCTCACCGTTCTGCTCATGATGTACCGCGTCAAGGGTGCTCTGCTTATCGGTATCTTCCTCACGAGCATCATCTCCTGGCCGCGCCCGACCTCCGTCACCGCATTCCCCCATACTGCTGCCGGTGACGCCGCGTTCGACTTCTTCAAGCAGGTCGTAACCTTCCACCCGCTCAAGCACATCGGCAACGCGCTCGACTACAACTATGGGAACGGCCAGGTGTGGTATGCTCTCGTCACCATGCTGTACGTCGACATCCTCGACACGACCGGTACCCTGTACAGTATGGCGAAGTTCGCTGGTCTTCGTGACCCGGTTACGCTTGACTTCGAGGGCAGCACCATGGCCTACTGTGTCGACGCGTTCTCGATCTCCATGGGTGCCCTCATGGGAACATCGCCCGTCACCGCTTTCGTCGAGAGCGCTACCGGTATTGCGGACGGTGGCAAGACCGGTGTCACCGCTATCGTCACTGGTCTTGCGTTCTTCGTCAGCATCTTCTTCGCCCCGATCTTCGCCAGCATCCCTGACTGGGCGACGGGTGGCGCGCTTGTCATTGTTGGTACCCTCATGATTCGCAACGTTCGCGAGATCAACTGGGATTACATTGG